TGAGGTTGGTCATTTGACACATTTACACAGATTGTCCTGTGACTGATATCACTCACACTCTCCATCCTAAGAAAAAAACAGATGCCTTTAATCAGTCATGAAGAAGCTCTACAAGTACCTGTTGATCTTACTGGGTAACGTACAGCATTCATGTATCTGCTATTTTGCTAGATTCACACTAATATTAACACAATTTTCTGCAATGCTTTCCTTTGTGCAGCGATTTTGCTCTGTTTTTAGTTTAGTTCACTCATTTCACCCTCTACTGTGGATTTACAGCACGTTTACAGCACAAGATTTCTTAAAACCACTTTTTTTTTGATAAAGCCTGAACTCATGATTTTATGTTACTTTTTTTTCATGTTTTGCATTTATTTATTTTTCTCATCATACAGATTTTGCTCATTTTGCTTGTCACTGTCTCTCTAGAAATTACTGTGAAAATGACTTGAAATATTTGTTCCTCAATAAAACTAGTGTGCTACCTCAGAAAACCAAGTGATGTTCTGATATGCAACAGTGCAATTCAAATAAACATTACATTTAAATCATTTCTAAAGTTCATTTGAATCTTGTTGTTTACACAGGGGTTTTATCAATTCAAGAAATGGCAAATGGAGCAGATGGTAAGAATCTTTCAATTTAATGACAATTATTTTATTTGGTCCCATTTAATTCATTTTTTAAGGAAACATTTTTTTTCAACCCATAAAAAAAAGCATAGGTTTTCATAAAAAATAGGGTTTTTGCCAAATACTTTAAATTAAACAGTGTCAGTCCATACAACAAATGCTCTGCAAGAATGCATTTTAAATAATTTAATAAATAATAAATTAGGTTATTTAAATGAAACGCTGTTGAAGACAGTTTTATAAAGAATTCCATAAATAATCGAAGAGACCTTGAATCTTGAAACATTTTCCAGACATCACATCACCCTGGCGATTCACAACCCAGTCGACCATATATGTGAACTTTTCTGCTAAGCTTGCCGTCGACGGTGACCGTGGCACAGCAATACAGGGACCAACCAGTGGTGGAGACTGGAATTATGGCAGGAATATCAAGTGGACACGATCGCCATCACTAATGCATACAGCAGCATTTATCACTGGATAAACGGTGCAGTGATTCTTGTCAGGAACTCCCCTTCTTTGATTTATGTGGCTGCAGATAACATGAATATAAACAGAAACAGATAACAGATGATCTTTCTGTCTGTAGATGTGCTGTAATTCCTACCATTCCATCTGGTCAAACAACTAACTTCTCCTGCGGTTGGATGGAGGGACATTACATGTTTGTTCATATTCCTGGAGATCAGAAGACTTGTTCTTTGTGAGGTGCAACTCTACGGGTATTTGACAGGTAACATTTATTAGGTAAATCATTGTTGTAGATTACGGACTAACTGAATTCTTGAAACACAGTGTAGGGCTGCTAAAGTGCAAATCGATAGAGATTTTGTCAATGTCTCTGTTCTCAGCAGATACTGCTTGCGGGGGGGGGGGGGGGGGGGACTAGGGGTTTCGAGCTT